GTACATATTCAACTCAGATTTGACTTATAGATACATCTTAGGAATAATCAGTTCAAGTTTCAATTTGGTCGTGGTTCAATGATTTTGAACAAGGTTATCTTTCTTGAATTTTCAGTTTCAGCACTCATACTTTTGTGGAAATGTATGTAGCCATTATTTTGGCTACAAATATGCAATATGCAATTTACAAAAGGTCTTTACCTGGAGACCTGGATCATGCATGGAGCAATACATATCATGGTGGTGAACATTTCCATAAAGTATTATAAAAATTCTTCCATACATGTAGGAGATATGCTCCAGACAAAATCTGGATATTTCACCATCTTTAGTGACCTTGACCTTGCATATATTGACCTAAAGTACATGTGTCACAGCCGTAGTCATGATAATGACCATTTGTGTTACAATCCCTCAATAAATGATGATTAAATCGTCCCTATACACATCTTCATATTTTTATCTAAACTTTGACCTCTATGTGTGACCTTGACCTTGGCTGCAGGGACCTGAATTTTGTGCGCGACACTCCGCCTCACAATGGTGAACATTTGTGCCAAGTTATATTGAAATCCCTCTATGCATGTGGAAGTTTTGCTCCGGACAAGCGTTTTTCAATGAGCTCTAAGTGTGACCTTGACCTTTGACCTAGAGACCTAGTTTATGTGCGTGACATGGCTTCTCATAATGGTGAACATTACTATGAAATTTCATTAAAATCCCTCCATGCGTGTAGGAGATATGCTCCGGACAAAATCTGGATATTTCATCATCTTTAGTGACCTTGACCTTGTATATATTGACCTAAATTATATGTATCACAACCATAGTCTTGATAATGACCATTTGTGTTACAATCCCTCAATAAATGATGACTAAACGGTCCATATACACATCTTCATATTTTTATCTGAACTTTGACCTCTATGTGTGACCTTGACTTTGGCCGCAAGGACCTGAATCTTGCGCGCGACACTCCGCCTCACAATGGTGAACATTTTTGCCAAGTTATATTGAAATCCCTCTATACATGTGGAAGTTTTGCTCCGGACAAGCATTTTTCAATGAGCTCTAAGTGTGACCTTGACCTTTGACCTAGAGACCTGGTTCATGTGCGCGACACTGCTCCTCATAGTGGTGAACATTTCTATGAAGTTTCATTAAAATCCCTCTATACATGTAGGAGATATGCTCCGGACAAAATTGAACGCCGCCCGCCCGACCGCCCGCCCGCCAGGGGCGTTCCCATAATACGTCCCGTTTTTCAAACGGGCGTATAAAAATGCATCAACAATTCCAAACAAAACACAGTACTTGTACATCGATCTAAAATATTTAAAATTCCCGCAGGTTTGAACCGTCACTTACGATACTTCTGTAAATAATTCTGTACCCCATAACTATAAATCTCCTTGAGACATTACTACCTCCTTAACGTTAGAATTGTCTCACAGAATAAATATAATAAATTCCTTGAAAACTATGTTTTTGGTTCTGATAAAACTTGTTATTGTATTTAAGATGAAACATCTACTTGAAACATATTCAGGATTGTAGTTTAAATGCAAATATAAGGCGTAAGAATTGCACTATAAAACAGTCGTGCTAAATTCACTTAATAGATACGGCACCCCGCCAAAATTTATTAACTTTACGTTTCCTGGATTAAATCTTCATATTTATTAAATCTTCATTGGGTATAGTATATTTTGATGTTCGATATTCGATTTTCAATGTGGTCGAATGCGATATTCATTTAACTCTTCGAACTTCCAGTACTTATACGTACATGTACGTTGTAAAATCTAAATCAAGCAATTTAATACTAATTACATAAAAAAACACTTGAATTTCACATAACATTTGTGTTATTTAAAATTCACATGAATCAAGGAATGTCTCAATAGTTAAATAAGGCCAAAAAAAATATGTCTGGTTCAGGAAACATTGGTCCAAAAAATTAGGAGGGTAGGGATTTTTTTTTTTTTTTTTTTTTTTTTTTTTTTTGGTTGGGAGAATGTCTTATTTTCCATATATAGAAGTGTTGCTTGCTTAACATACTTAAACAAAGATTGTAATCAATCAATGCAAACACCATTTTGTAATAAACTATCAGCATGTGATATTGTGTTGTTTATTTCTTGTATGTAGTCATTTAACCATGTAGCACCTGTATTCATACTTATTTGCTTTCTATTCTGCTTATTTAATGTACCCTCTCCCTTTGAATCACCCGCTGTACTATGCTAACCTGCATCTGACAGGTCTGACAATTAAAAGATCAAGGGTCACCTCTGTAACAAGTTAATAATAATGCTGTATTTATATTATAAGCTTAGATCATCTGACATGCACTATTCCGGGGACCAAAATAACACAGCTATATATAATTTTAATATTAAACATATTCAAATGGTCTTCAGGGGGCGCAAGTCTATAGATATATATGTGCAACTGGTACAAACAGTTGCAGGGTTCTCACAAAGAAGGAGTCTTGGGACTCCCAAGCACAAAAAAGTAGGAGTTCCAGATCACATTGAATATGTTTATCCATCTTTGCTGTATAGCAGAGCAAGGGGTTGGGGACAGAGAAAAAGCTTATTCAGGAAAATGGTAATATGCCCCAAATGGAAACATTGTACCATAAAAGTGATTGAAAAGACTCGAAATATAATTTCAAAAACATACATCAGACCATTATGCTGAAAATATTCATTGTATGTTACAAACACATACTGGTAATTGCTCCATCTCAACTTATGTAAACAATATCTTCAGTAAATTTAATTCCTAAACTATATTTTAAGTGTTATTACACACATTTTAACAAAATATATCTTCCTTTTGGTTACGATTTTTTAAATTATAAAAAGCGGCATCGCGAAAATATGTGACAATTAAAAAATGTGTATGTTTCCTGCGGAAACATTCACAATTCTACTTGTTGTTGATTTTGATCATATAAGATTAAATATTTTTTTGATTATTTTAAGATTGTTACTCATCGGCTATTTCAACAGGCACCGTAAAACAAAATTTTCACATTTGTAATTTTCGTACCCAAAAATTTTCGTACCGAAAATCAAAAAAAAAGTTTAGGGTCGGCGTTAAAAATTAGGGTCGGTCGGGTTCCCTGAACCAGACATATTTTTTATTTTGGCCTAAGCTAAAATTTCCAAGTGAAGAATTTGAACCTGTGGTAATGGTGCCTGTCTTTTTAAACATGGATCGTGGGTTCGAACCCTACTTGAGACCTGCCTGAGTCACTACGATGTTGATTTGAGATAACCGAGTATCTTGCTTTCTTTGAAATGTGTCATTGCCGTATATGCATTCATATATTCATTCTAGTGGTTATATGATGCCAGCCTACTAAATCCAGGTAGAGTCACTTACGTAGGCAACGCTTCCATACAATTTCGTGTTTCCGTATAAAATTTATGCTTGCATAAAATTTGTGTTCGCGTGAAATAAATTGATTTAAGGTAGAACACCCCTAATGGGCACTATAAGGAACTGTAAAATTGACAACATAGGACAGTTATATCCCTTAAATGTCACCTGTATGCAAAATTTAAACAGAATTTACCGTGTGGTTTATGAGTTATGGACATTTTTTCTGAACTAAAACTTTGCCATTAGAAGGGCTTTTTCAGAAATGAGGAAACTCTAAATTATCTATAATATTATCATTATGAAAAATGTTTTCCTATTGCTCATTGTTAAGAAACAAATAATGACATTTACGTAACAAATTAAACAAGCAAAATTATTGTTTTTGAACGAAATGTTTTTAATATGTATAAAAATGTAACTCTACCCCACCCATTTTTAACTCTTATTTGACCATTTTCCTATGTAAAAACTTCAGTGCTGTTCTATTTTTCTGGTCCTTTGGGATCATTGATGCCAGCACTATTAAGTGTTGAGATTTGAGTACCGCTCAAGCTAGGGGGCGTGAGGGATGTTGCACATATTCATTATCCCTCATGTAAAGACTCAATCAAACCGAGTCTGCAATTCTTATGTAATTTTGTTGTGATTAATGCTTCCGAGGGATCACTTTGTTTCCAGATTTTTATTTAAAATATCCCTAAAATTTTCCACAATGAGGGGCTGTTTTCAAAGTTTGCCTAAATTTTCTTAAATGTATATTGGTTAGTCTTGCAAAATATAAAATACTTTTACCGTGTAGTTTTTATTTTATTAAACTTTGAAAATATCTGGTATCATATTTGCTATTAAATTTGGCATTATTTAGTAAATAAATACCTACAATAATTATATAATTAAAATGAAACACTTTTTTCTTCCATTAGGGATCTGAGAGATTAATAAAAAAATGTTAAAAATAAAAAAGAAAGAAAAAAAAGTTGCCCCTTCTGGGGTTTGAACCCACGCCCCTCAGTTTCAATACACTTTACAGTGATTCTAGCCTATTTGAATACCCTTCATAGTGGAGATAGTGCATTAGGGGTGTACTACCTTAATGTAGCACGAACGTCATTCCTTTTCAACTTTTGGCTCATTATTAACTTCCCGGCCACGTTCTATCTTTTGAGACATTATTTTTATTAGATTATGCAACTATCATGTAATGTAAAGAGTTCATAAGATGCGTTACAGATGATAATAATGACTGACTAAAGCACGTACATGTGTTGATAAAATACCCAAAGTCATACTGGTACTTATATCGTATCCATATTTCAATATTCGGTTTGTAAACAATTCGTTAACGACTAAAAAACATGAAGTTCTCTGTTACATATTAACTTTGGCTCGGCTAGTTGAAGACAATGAGCACGATACATGATACACGATATATTATCTTGTTTATAAAATATTTTGTAAAAGGTTTATACATTACGTATCATAAGACTTCAAAGTGTATCTAAAATGTTTAAATACATGCACACATTTCAAAATCGAAAGTGCATTAATTATTTGTGAACTATGCATTTACTTATCCTTAAAATATTAAGATACACTATACATACCTTGTAAAATATCACGCGTTAATTATCCATCAAGAAGGTAAAAACTATACCGTCTGGTATTTAAAATTTTAAATCACTTTTTTTTGTTTGATTTAAACATAGCTACGCCATAATGAAGGCATGTTGAATCCGGGTCATACAAGAGTTCGCTCTCAAATTAATTCGTACCCGTTATTTGCAAATATCGTTGATATACACACACTTAATAATAATTGCGTTACAATGATTCTTTACTATACGAAATGTTATTAATTTGTGTAGATCAATCTTATATCTCTAATGTAATGATTTAAGTTATATTACATGTATTAAGTAGTCACCTTTTATTGCAATGAATAGCAATTTGACTTTTAAAAAAGATAGATAAATATAGATATCTGTATAATAGTTTTTCGTAATAAATTTGAAGTTGTGAATATTGGATTTTGTTATTAATTTTACTGATTTTTTACTTTAAAACTTAATTGATAGAATAAGTAAATATAAATAACTATGTTAAACTAGCTTAATGTTGATAAGAGCATAAATTAACAAAATTAATTGATATTTAATGTGATTCTATTTTATTGTCATCTGGTAATAAAATATGAAACATTGAAATGCTAATTAAACAAAATTCAGTCAGTTCAGGGGAGACAAATTATACCAATTAGTTATGTAATAGAAAGAGCACCGAAACACGAGGCTATCTGATTTGTACGAGGGGGCGTAGCCCCAGAGTATTAATCAGATTGCCGATTTTTTTGGTGTTCTTTCTCTTTTGTATCATAGTCAAACATAAAAGCACGTTCCCTGTTGTCACAATATGAAACCCCGGCAAAAATGAACCAATGAACGAACATCTGAATATGACATTTCTGTCGCTTTCTCATTCTCTGCCGTCACAATATGTAAACCCAGCAAAAATGAGCCAATCATGGGCATGCTCTGGAGTGCGGGTAACTAATACCCGCACTTCAGTTAACGCACTGTGCATGTATATGTATACGATTTAGCCTGACACATTTTCAACAGAAAAGTCTCCAAACTATGATACAATTTTGATCTTAACTTATGGTTGTTTTACTTAAAGGTAATGGTTTTAAGCATTAATAGCCTTTAATACATTAAATAATTAATATGTTTATAAATGGCCTAAATTTTGTCAATTTTATCTCATTTATAATCTCTCTTACCTTCTCAAACTGAGATTTATCTATATTATATGATACATATTATTCTGAAAATAAATACATGTATTTATATATAATGATGGTGTGTATGAAATGTGGATTAAGTATTGATTTGTACCTGTGGGACACTAGTATACATGTACTTTAACTGACATGGATATTAACAAAAAGATTAGAAAATCTTTCAATTCCATTTTTGAGACAACACCAATCTTTTTTTTTTTTTTTTTTTCATGCATTCTGACATAATTATGCAATATGATTATTTTTATGAGTTTATTATAAAATGCAAAAATATTTCAATTTTCTTTTTCCTTTTTGTACTACTTGTAATGGAAATTATTTGCACCAACATCCAAAGAATATAGAATTTACATTGCCTACTTATATTCATCATCTGCCTTTTGTTATTTACCCTGAGGGGCTCTCTTATCAGCAGGGTACTATATTAAAACACCAATACACAGCATGACTTTTGACACTTTAATCTTCTGTAACTGTTTTCTGCTCATTTATGATATTTTATTTTAAAAAAATACAGAATTGCATTAAAGTGAAAAGGAAGTTGCAAAAGTTTTATAATCATGTATTTAAATATTTTCTTTGATATATATTATCTTCTAAATATGTTAAAACTGACAAGGCAATTGTATGTGAAATATTGAAAAATAATAACGTATTCCCTTTAATATTTCTTTTCTTAATAAGATCAATGTTCTTGAATATATTTTTGACATTTCTTTTGCAGGTAGAGATTAGCGCTGAGAAAAAGTGAGATATCTAATTGATTTATAAATGGCGATGATTTATGTTTTGAAAATGTTGGTCCCGCTAGCAATGCTAGACACTATCGTGTATTCTAAAAGTGAAGTTTCCGAGTTTGTACCTTTTTGTAATATAAAGAAACAAACCGCAATTTGACGTCTGATATTAGTAACAAGAGCACCGCTAGGTGGAGCATTATATGCCCGAAAGTGATTTTTTTTTTTAGTAAAGATGAAGCATTTGTATGACATGGGAGTAAAATAAAGTATTACCTCCTTCAAATAACAATCCTCCTTTGAAGTTTCAATATTGTGGTCCAAATTGAACTTTAAGTTATGCCCCAGAAACTGTTTTCAATTCTAAGGTAAAAGTGACCTTGACCTTTGACCTTGTGACCCCAAAATCATTAGGGGTCTTCTACCAACATGGACAATCATGCTATGAATTTTAAACACAGTAGGCCAAATGATACTAAAGTTATGTTCCGAAAACTGTTTTCAGTTTTAAAGTAATAGTACCCTTGACCTTGTGACCCCAAAATCAATAGGGGTCTTCTACCCAATATGGACAATCATCCTATGAAGTTTGAACACTGTGGGCCAAATGGAACTTAGGTTATGCTCCGGAAACTGTTTTCAGTTTTAAGGTCATAGTGACCTTGACCTTTGACCTTGTGACCCCAAAATCAATAGGTGTCTTCTACCTAATATGGACAATCATCCTATGAAGTTTGAATACTGTAGGCCAAATGGAACTTAAGTTATGCTCCGGAAACTGTTTTCAGTTTTAAGGTCATAGTGACCTTGACCTTTGACCTTATGACCCCAAAATCAATAGGGGTCTTCTACCCAATATGGACAATATGGAAGTTTGAATATTGTGGGCCAAATGGAACTTAAGTTATGCTCCGGAAACCAAATTGCTAACGGACGGACGGACAGACGGACGGACGGACGGACAGACGCCAGGGGGTATAACATAATATCTCCGAAATTCTTTTGGGCATATAAAAATGATGTATGACAGATTATATGACCCTAATTAAACGGTGTTTTTATATATAACATAACATTACATCACATACATTTTATTTAGCATGTAACACATTGTACAATCTTTATAGCCAACATGGTGAGGAAAATGTTAATTATGGTGTGATATAATCCGAAATGCTCAGCGAGGGTTCCATTGCAAACAACCGTTTATACACTGCTAAATAACCTGTCGAGAATCCTTATAACAAATAAGTGTACAGCAGACTTTCTTTACTTAAAGAAAAATGAAATTACAACATAAACTTGTATTTCTGAGTATGCCAACTTAACAGTTAAATTTAAAGTTGTACAAGAATGGCAAAAATGCACTAACAACAACATTATAGAGGCATACAATTTAACTGATATAAAGTACTAAAAGAGTAACTCATGAAAGTTGTATACTTCATGACTTATGAGATTAACTAAACTTAAACATGACAAAGGGAAGAAAAAAGGAACACTGAAATTCACCGTAAATATAATTATGAAAAAAGGATGTCTCTATATATTAAAAAGAAATTATCTTTTTGTTTCTTGTTTTTTTTAATATACGAATTAAGCACTCCCGAAATAGTATAGAAATATTCATATAGTTTTTTTAATATAGGTTTGATTACATAAATCGCTATCATTTGCATGTACAAAAGTATGAACATTTTCAATAAATTCAGTAATTTTTACCAAATTTTATTTCTCAATGAAATGAAGCTATACGATTAATGGAGAAACAATTTCGACGTGAATATCCGTTAACATCGTTAAAGCAACACAACACAAGATGGTTAAATTAAAATTTCAAGTTTCACTTTGAATCGATATACTTTGTATATATGTATGCGTGTGCTATTTATTAATTGTATCTGATTAGTTCAGTCTGATTGACCTGTACAATTGTGGTAGACTTACTGATAAATTATGATAACATATATTAAGTATGAAATATAAAAATAACCTGTACCACCCTTTTATTAATCAAGCTTACGTTAGCAATATATTTTATAATGGATTCTATAGAAATAACCGTTTAGCCCGTGAGTTCTTGATTACTTTTGCGAAGTGGAATCCAAAATTAAAGACCATTATGGAAAATTGCAATTTTAGATTCTTACCTTGACAATCAGCATTTACACTTTAATCGACATAACGTCACCATCTAATCACACTAAGTTTTATGAAGGCATAAAATCAAACAGCAATAGTAACTAAATAATACAACTTTAAACGTTTTGTAAGTTTGTTTTGTTTGTTTGTACGCCGATTTTAATTATCATAAATAGTCTTCAGTAATTTATCTCGAGGTTCGAAAGTAATCGTGAATTAAACGAATTTGAATACAACGTAATTATTTCTGTAATCGGGGGAGGGGGAGAGTACGGTGTTGCACCACGACATGAACACTCTTGTATAGAGTGTAATCTTGATACCAATTAATATACAAAATTATTTGAAAGCCAGAAATTCAGGACTAACAAGTACATACTTGCTCAATAACGGTAACTTTTGCCCGAGAAGGTACAGTATGTATTACATGGTATGTATTATATGTACTGAACGTTTGTAACGTCGCTTCTATTTATCTAATCTTTCTTCACCACTAGTGTCTATTTATTAAGTAATTTTCGTTAACCTCAAATATAGCAATTCTCTTTTTTATCAATTTGTTATAACGATGTCTAACATGGTTCATGACTTGTAAAAACCGTTGTTTACAACATAAACATCGCTTTTATATAATATTTCAACCGTTTATACTGAGCAATTAAATAACCTGTCTGATATCCAAATAACTAATATCACTAAATTCAAATTCTATGATCATGAATATTGAAAAATGTATTTACCAAATTTATTTTAATTTCCATTCAGTGCTAAAAAAATTATTAGAGCAATATACAAAAAGCTGTTTCACAAATTAAACACTTGTAAGCAACAAATATACATGAACTAAATCCTATTTCAAAATCATTTCAAAAACATAATATCTATAATTTATTTAAAGTTATAATCAATATCTACAATATGGATCTAAAAATTCCTTTTCATTTTTTTTCAAACAAGGACATACATTTAATAACAAATAATAACAAATGAAACAATATTTGAATTATGACATGGTAGACAATAACTTTTAAAACAAGAAAAACATTAAATATTCATTAACATTGTAATACATTTATAACCCTACATTAAAGATATTATAAATACTTGTCATCCCGAAATTTAACTACTTAAGTGGTTAAAAATCTTAATTTTTATTTCGTCTTTTACACGAACAATTATAATTCCTCTGGACCTCCTAGCAATCTTGGTAGATCTTCCAACTTTATTTCAGGAACATCGTACGGTACATCGATCCATTTCTTGTAGGTACTCACGCCATGTGTTCTCAAATTCCTAAACTTGAAATTGATGATTTTTAGGATCATGCAGTCTAAGCCATCTCTTAGTCCAATTATACCCCAGTCTATTGGGCATTTCTTGCAAATCATCTTGTATTTTTTGTGTAGGCCGTCATATGTTTTCGGCTTCTTGTGTTCTTTTCTTGTAATCTTGTCAGCGAAATCTTTATCAATTACGATATGATCATGTCCGAGCTGCCTTACATCTGAGACATAACAAGCAAAAGTGTTGCATCTTCCACACAAAATCGCGTAATTTTCATCAGACTTCCTTCCCTTTTTCAACTTCTCAACTTCTGCTTTAAATCTGTATTTATGTGTTTCTTCACTTTGGAAGGCATTGACTTTCATATTGATGTATTTTGGATCCAACTGTTTGACAATTATCATTGCCCTATACATCATTGCAGCTTTGTATGTATTGATCATTTCTTGCTCTACTACTTTATTACTTCCCATAGTGATTGTTGTCGCTTTTTTCTTACGAGCACGACCTGAATAAATATTTTAGTGATGAAATGTCGACTGAGAGGTATGGTTTAAACTGTTTTCATATTGTGTATTTTTTTAATGTTGAATGATGCATAAAATATTTTGACATGATAGAACTTAGAAATATCACCGATACATATATTTAAGACTTAACAAAATTGGTACTGGTTTGTTTTAGTACAACTTGCGGATTTATCAATAAAGAGGTAATAGTTTTAACCAATACAAATGTTTACGTTGAAATCTCGGTTTAATTGGTCAAGACATAATTTTTCTAGGAGAAAGTTCAATACCTTTCATTTGTATTTTTGTTATTTCATCTCCGGAATACTCGTAACTAAGAACAATATTACAATCAGGAACATCTATACCCTCATTCCCAACAGATGTACATACTAGTACTTTGAAGAATCCACTGCGAAACCTGTCTAATATCTCTGTTTGTTGACTTTCTGTCATTCCTGTTTACAATAATGAAAATCATATAATCAGGAACAAATAACACACTGCCGTTAATATGAAAAATCAACTAGTAAGGGGTTTGGTAAGTCAAGTAAGATATCAAATTTATTGACCACGTGTTAATGTACATATTAAAGTGAATTAAGAATTATTATTTTCAACCGCTGTAGTGCTTCACATTAATGATAGAAAGTTAAAATTGTCATACCGTCATCTCCACCACGATTTTCCTTTCCATATAATGGACTCGCTTTAGCTCCACTACTCTGGAGATCCCTGTCCAAAAATGCAGCAAGAGATCTGCAAGTAGCCCTTGCCTTCACAAAAACCATTGCTCTTGAATTGTCTCCTTTTTCTATCATCATCTTACTTAAGGTGTCGCTCAAAATCCTCACATTTGGATTTTCTGTGTTTTTCCCTTTAACGTTTATTGTTTTCTGCACATCTGGAAATTTCAAATATTAAAACGGGTGAAATGAACGGCCATTTTTTATAGAGGATTTTGAAGATAAACTGTTGTATTTTTCATTAAAAATCATAGATAAAGTCACCAGTACCTTAATTCTTAACACCAATTTTAAAAGTGAAATATGATTAATTCGTAACAACAATAATAGTTACTATTTAATATATCAATAATAAAACGATGACCCTACTTTGCAGATTTCTGAATAGTTCCTTTTCCATCTCAGTAAGTTTGTCTTTGTTTTCCCCTTCAAGTCTGTGTTTTTCAGCCAAATACTTAATGACATCTCTCGATAGCAAGAGTTTATTAACCTCTAAGGCGGAGTTGTAAATCTGACCGGTTTAAGAAAAAAAACATATTATAACCTTTTCATATATATCTGTGCTTGTTGCATTTAGAATACATTTTGATAAATGGCAATGGATCGCTCACCTAAGATACATTGCCAGAAACGGCCACACTTTTATAATTTAAGGTCAGTAATGAGGTCTATTAGGGTTTGTTATCTTATCAAGACTCATTTCTTTCATATATATAGATATCTATAACCAAATACTGTATGACAAATATCTAAGCTCTTGGACAACAAGAAATAACTCAATGAGTTTGACTATTTAAATCCATATGAACTCCAATTGCCAGAACCAGTTTTTTGTTCAGTCAAGGTGATTCTACATGCTAAAATGAGTCTAAATGATTAAGCCCGGGGCATTGTACTTTCAGAGAAGACTTTTTATACAACTCTATTTAACTATGTTCACTAGTGACTATCACCGAGTAAAGTTTTATTAAAATTCATTCAATACTTTTCAAGTTATTCTGCGGACAAAGATTATAATATATTATAAAGGGACAAAATTAAAAAACTAAGTGATCTATAGTTACGAAGCTTTGACACTGTTCTTTCCCTCCCTAGTCTCTACAACTGAATGAAATTTGAATCAGATATAAATAACAGTTTAGATGTTATACGCAGGAAAGACATTATTTAATAACTTTAAGTAACATGAACGAAGCATCAATCAATGTAGAATAATGTTTTTTTTTTCACACTTCACGTCCTTTTAACTGATATATGTCATTGTGAGAAGTTTATTCAAATACAATTCTCAGGACAAGAATGATAAAGTATGATAAAGGAAGGATAATTTTAAAACTGATCAAAGTAGAGTCATGGTTCTTTGACACTTCCTATTTTGGGTCCTTAACACTGTGTGTATCTTCAAAACGATATGATTAAAACTTAGTTATATACAGTTAAAATTATTTAACACTGCACTTTTTTCAAGTCGTAGTTTCAATGAGAAATCATTTAATGTTTAGAAATTATACTCATTTTAATATGCCGTTATTGTAAATGAATAAATCGGTATGTTTTCAGACAATAATAAACAATACAATTTATATACTTAAGGACTCTTGAAATATCACACAAGTTGACACGTATGTCTCTAATTTACACTGAATACTACGGAAAAATATACGTTTTACAATAATCAATATCACAAAATTGCGACGTGTGCGACTGGTTGGGCAAAATAATAAACGGTGCTTATCTCCATCTGTTTGTAGCTTTTAAATGTCCAAGATTCGCGGTTTAATGTGACATGGTCTATGCACCCACGAACTGCCACGTTTACTTGTGACATAGTCTTCATGTAATCATCATTTGATTAAAATTTCATGAAAATAAGAAGGATTGTAATGAAACACTAGTACTCAACATAGTTTTCAATTTTCTTTTCTTAACCTATAACCGACACAGGTACCTTTGTTGGTTTTGATCTATCTAAAAGTTCATATAAAGATAAATCATGTCATAGGCTTCACAAATCCGCACTATATGTAAAACAAAGACAATCCCAGCTCGGTTATCTACATTTAATTTATGCCAGAATTGACTTAAAAACACATACTGGTATTTCAAATATGTTAAGCTGAAATGTTGTTTTTTTAAGAATCACATTCCTTCACTGCTACGTAAGTATTGTTAGTGAACACGAACTTACGATCTTTTAAACCAGTTAAAACATTTTCTTGTTCTATATCTACGAATGATAAAATACGTATAACTTCAACCGGATGTCACGAAATTTGGAAATAATAATTTTCTAATTGGCTATGTACGTTCTCATTATAAGATATATATACTTTTAAAAATATTTTCAGAAACTTACATTCAAGTATTTTGCACAACTACTTATATCTCTGGACACATCATAGTCATCCACCTTCAAAAGTGCAGCTCTCATTACATCAACTGTCCATTTATTGTATTCTTGCGACTCTCGGTCACGTGGCTGCTTGTCCATGAGATCAATCATATCAGGTTGCATCAATGAATTATCTAAAAATAAATATACATATTTGACCATATTGTGTGTTCTTTGTGTATTATCCCTTTTATAATACTTCTCGTTTGTAACGTCGCTTTTCTTTGGTCATTCGTGATGTTTATTCCACAGTTTTATATAGATGACTACTGTGAATTCATGAGGAAATCTGACTTTTATTTCTAAAAATGAATGTTTGTTGTATTAGTATCTCGTCATAAATATTCCTGGCGGTTATATGACCAGATACAAACGGTTGTTTGCCATGCGACTTAAGTTATTTTAAAACACACAATGTTTATATAGGGTCATATTCCCCGGACACAATCATTGTAACTAACAATAAACATAAATTGCAAATAGAAAAAAAACAGTTTTGTTAGACTGTAGACTATAAATCTTATAATTTAACAGCTAAAAGGTAACATACATCAATGAGAACAAGTCGACTACAGTGACAACAATTTAGATTTTTTAAAATTTCATTTATACAGTTTTTTCTATAGTATCCATGGATGAAAAACAACTTACTTTGTTGTTTTATTTATTTGAAAATTAGATGTTTTAAAAACATTTTAAGTGCAAAAATATTTTATTTATAAAATAAATGGGTGTGGTCATGCACATGTAAACTTTCCAAGCCACGCACCAACTGCCTGTGTTGTGAAGTCGCGTTTATGAAAAAGGTTTGTTAAATTTTTGTTTAACTTTTGACAAAAGACTTATATGCACATAAATTTCTTGTTTGTTTTAATGATCATAATGTTAACCTTTATTGTATGACGCACATTTGCTTTTGCTGCTTTTTGAAGAAGATGATAAGAAGATCTTTGGAAGCATTCACTTACAAAATTCAAACATTATTTTTTCAAACTACAGGCATACTACTATAATTTATTTATTATATATGTTTAGCTTTTTACGAGTATTCTTCGATTTCTTAAAGAAATATACCTTGTAGCATATCTTCCGTTTCTTCCATTGCAGTCAATATAAGATGTTTACAAGGATCATCTTTCTGCTTAACAAGCTGTATTGTTTCTACAAAATTATCAGAATGGAAATATGTGAGTTATAAACGGCTATTGAGTATGTAACACACAAGTTGTAAAGTATAAATTTAATTATGTGGATTACTTTGTTTCATATCAAACAGTTCAATGTTTCAGATGACATTTTAAATATGGTCCTTCAAACAAAACACTAAATTATTGGAACACAATTTTACGGTATCCTAACAAAGTCTGACAGGGAGTCATTGATAACATTATATCTTTCCAAAATTAAATTACTACATAAATTTCATTTAGCATGATTATAAACTGTCCTTGAAATACGATCAATTCTTATCTTTTCTCTGAAAAATAACTGTCCCTGTTTCATTCATTGAAATGAACCTCATCAACGGACCATTTATTATATTAAATTACTGCCTAAACATGTTGGTCTTTGTAGGTTTATCATGTACATTAATTGTTTTCTTAAATAAACGTCATGTATAATATCTGTAGAGAATATTCTTGAAGTTTGAAAACAAACATATACATACCCTCATCAGGAATGCTGACATGTTTCTTCAATTCTTTAAAATTTCTTTCTACTGTTGAAATTATTCTCACGTCCAGACAAGCACATACCCTAAGAATGTAATCAACCGACTCCTGATCTGTTCGAGATTTGCCCACGCCAATAGAGGCTGTCAGACCTACTACCTGAAGTTGAAAAAGACAAACCATAAACACTCTTTTAAGCAGAAAAAATGTCAATACATATATGTATATATGTAGTTACAAAGTTTGCTGAAATCAATGTCTACAATAAAATCTTAAATAATTACAAAAAATATGTGTATTTACACTTTACGTTTGAAGTTCATTTTAATGTGCAAATGTTTATTAGCTTGAACAAAATGTATTGTACATCAGTGTGCAAATTATCAAATGACCTGTGGCATTTCTTTTTTTGTTTTGGATTTTTCCACTAGATATTTTCTCATTAGCGTACTGTAAGGCCCATCTCCTCTCGTATGGTGGCATTCGTCAAGTATCAACAAGGAAAATTCTGATAAACTTTTTATGACGTTGTCTTCTAGATTATTCACTAGAATTTGAGGTGTGAAACATAGTATGTCGTAATTTTCTAAAAAAATGTTTAACATCCTTGATTCGTCATCTTCTCCTGTTATTAAACGGGTCTGCAAAATAAACATGAAAAGATAAACTATGTAACTTAGCAACTAGTTAATAAAACAACAATGTTTTTATATAACATAGCAACTAGTTAATAAAACAACAATGTTTTTATATAACATAGCAACTAGTTAATAAAACAACAATGTTTTTATATGACATAGCAACTAGTTAATAAAACAACAATGTTTTTATATAACATAGCAAATAGTTAATAAAACAACAATGTTTTTGAAGTTAATAAATAACATCGAACAGGTTTATATTCAATTCTTTTTATCAATATTATTGATATGTTTCTCTTACGTAACTATTTTCATATCATGCAAGAAAAATTGATCTAAAACAGGGGGACACATGATTTTATTACTAACTCAGTAAATTAAATATAATTGAAAGCAAACATTGATGCGTAATTATTGCCCATTGACACCGGCTAAAGCAATATTTAAGCCTTAACACTAATAAGTTTTGAAATAAATTATGCCGACGTGCCAAAATATAAACCAATATTGTTTCAAGGTATGCGGCAGCTTTAAAAAGCATTCAACACCTGCTTATGTCAGAAAGGGGTTGTAGGTAAGTTTTAACAAGAAATCACGGTTTTCTTGAAGAACCAAACGCATTAAATGGCTATTATCTCAAAGAAAGTTCTAACCTGAAATTGTGGAAGATAATTTTTAAACCTGTCAGATTGTTGTTTGATTAAAGCCCCAGTCCTTGCCATGAACACTACCTTCCTTGGACCTAAAATAATATCATATGTGAAAGAAATCAATACAAACATTGCATCTTTTTAAAACAAAACGTGGTAAGGTAATTATTAAGTTGATTGATATTGCTTAGAAAATGAAAAGAAACAAGAAGATGAGACAAAAAAAATAATTCATTAATTGGCATATTACATAAACAGAAAGTGACAATGACAAGTAGTTTGTCCTTACCGTTCATAGCATTTTGTAAATGCTGTTGTACGATATGCAAAGCAACCCATGTTTTACCGGATCCTGTTTCTGCACATATAATTGTATTTCTTCCAAGAACTGCATTTTCTGCAAGTTCTAATTGATATTCGCGCAATTGAAATGGAGCTGCTGTGTGCGAAGCCAATGCTGAATATATAAAGAGCACAACACTAGTTAGTAAATATGATTATGAAAGTAGAAGTGCTAATTAATGTGCGCACCATTTTTGCCAATGATTTTAATTGGATCAAGGACATTTACGTAACAAATGTTTTATGACATGCATTAACTGTTAACGGAACAATTTGTGATTATTTTAATAAATGTCTATGCCTTTAAATATACTAAGAATATCTGTGATATTCTTAGAAAAGGATTAATAACGATACCTTAACATATATAAAAATTTAATAATTAAGTTGATGATGGTAATCTGTTAAGCACTTATTAGTTAACGAATATATTTTCTCAAGCATATAGAAAACATACCCTTTGCCTCAACTTCTGCATTATCATAGTCAGAACCCATTGAATCTTCATCATCATCTTCTTCTCCTTCACAATTATCAGGACCAGCATTATATTCTTCAGTCTTCCCAGGCTTGCTGTTTTGCCGTTGGTATGTCTCTACTGCTTCATAAAATTGAAATGAATAAAAATGTAAATTATTGATCACCTATTTTAAGTCATTTTCAGATTGTTATTGAATTGAATTACTTAAACTAGCAGTACACTGAGGGCAACTCTAGAAATGATTTTTTTAATTTAGGTTCGCTTCTTTTGTAAAACAAGCGAATGAGTTTGTTAATGATATATGTTTGCATTGTTTTCTAAATTAGGGTCCTTAAAACTGAAAAGAGGAGTCTGGTGTGGTATTTATTGATAGAAATAAAATTTAAGATCATTTAATTATCTATAAATTGTAAATTTCTCAATTGATTTCGTTCCGATAAATAGCATAGTTTGCGAAGTATTTATTATTATAAGCATAAAAAAGAATCTATAAACACTTTGTATATAACATGTGTGAAACTTAGGTGATGACACTCTTATATAAAGGGAACAAATTCTTACCAATCGGAAGAGATTTTGACATATCAGGTTTAATATTAAGCTCCTTTAAATTCGTATCTAAGCTGTCGATTTGGCACTCGTTTGATTTCAGGAAAGAATTGTGCTTTTCAGGAAGTGATGTTGGTGCTCCCAAGTCATTTGTATCTTCGTAACCTTCCCCTGTGTCTAAAGATTATCTTATATATTATCTACTTGTTATAACTAAAATCACGATATTGTCAAATTTGATAACAGAACAAGATAACATGTCACATACGTAAAAGATATATTTCTATAGTGTTCTGTATAAGTCTTGTCAGATCATTATTCCGGGTATCTTTTATGCTTTGCCCACTAAAATGACAGCTTCCTTTCATATCAGTTATAGTCTAGATATAGATTTGTCAAATTTAATTTACAGTTGGTATTAATTATGTATATTTGTGTTAAATAAACGCTCCATTTTCTATTTAGTTTAGGTTTGTCAAACAAAATTTACTATAAACGAACTATTATAATTGTGATATTTGCATATACATATAATCATTCGTTCATTGATGATTGAAATAACAATTACCTTCAAGAATATGTTCATGTATTGATCCACAAGCACCTTGTTCGTCATCAAAATATTTTCTTTGACTAACCATAACCTTCTCTGTGCTATTTGATACGATTGTACCTGTAAAACATTATAAGAACAATGTATGTAAAATTTTTGATTTCATTTTCCTTTTGTATAAGACATTTTCTACAAAATATGGTACAGGGTGAAACAATTCATGAAAATTAAGTAGCGTTTATTTTATTTAATTTCATGTTCTGAATTAATCTGGTCATCTGACCCGAAGAATAATGAAAAGTGTCGTGGTTAGATTTGAGTGTTTTTTTTTAACTTTTGTGAATATAGGTGTATAATATGCCTAAACTCTCACATGTATTATATTGGAACGTTTAGACGTCAGAAAATACGAAAATTGGAAATTTTCAATGTATTTGATATGATCACAGCTGGTTTCTAAAATGTTGTCTAAAATGTATACCAATAAAAATTACCCAGCTTTGGCATATATGCTGAAGGATTTTTAATAAAGTCCGGTTCTATTTCTTTCACTATATGCTGGCAATCCTTCTTCATCAGTACATCCAGAAACTCATAATACCATTTTTGAGGTGCCTGTCTACACTGCATCCTATCTAGGAGAATCATTGTTGAATATATATCGCCCTTTGTTTCGTATGTTTTAAGGATAATATCTACATCTGTCTTGTTTAGTACACCTCTCGCCATCAACTCTGACACAAACTCCTTTGCACATATCGATTTTTCAAGATTTGGTGTAAACACACAGATGATTGTCTGAGCATGCTTGGATGAAAATGCATCATATGTGGTTTGTTCTGACAACAGTTGCTTCAAAAACGGATAATCTGTAAATAAAACATTCTTTGAACATACAATTTAAGACAGTTTATAGCGAGCTTAAAGACAGGCCGGGGCTGTTCGCAAAGGGAGTATTACGGTTACGCGTGTATCTTTATGTGATAAATTCAAATAATCAATCCTGACATTTGACTTTAAGCGATTTTGTGTTCCCCGACGAGTATATAGACAATGTGGACCTTTAATCACTAGATTTGACATTGACCTTGGAAATAGAGTTCTGCGTGTTACACATGACGTCTTATTATTACAATCATTTATTTTATTTCAATTTTTTTTTTTGATAAATCGCTCAGTTATCGAACAAACACAAAAGTGTGAAGGACGGACAGGCGGGTGGTAGGACAGACGCACGGAGAGCATTTCTATATCCCCCTTTTCGAAAGTGCTGTTTCCCGAAATGGGATTCTTTGCGCGTTCACTATCGTTTGATGTTAATTTATCATACAGCACGAACATTTTTATTCAAATATACCGTAAAATGTTTGATATATCATTGTCATAACATAACCTTAATACGCAACTTATAAATAAAAAGAAGAATTTAGACGCCGATTCATTATCAACTTCAGGAAGCTTCCTGTCTTACGATATCCTTTTCAAGAAATTGGATTTCGGATGGAATTTAGATAAATAAAAACACAAAATAGCCGTATTTCGAAAGTTTAAAATATGTGCAGTAGTTTTGAAAAAAAAATGGCGGCCAAAAGTGTGCAGTTTTAATGAGTTGTAATCAAAATATGTAGTAACAAGTGTGCAGCCGCCGACGGGTTTAGTAGATATTGTCATAATCTTGAAATGTACTTAAATTCTGTCAAGGAGGACGTTTCGAGGCTTTTCCTTATTCATATTATATGTATGAATTACGATATGCTATAAATAATTCACTTTGTAGTATTGGATGTTGTAAATATTTCTTTCATGTGTGTGATGGAATAGAAGGTCGTTTTACATCACCACAAGCATTTTATAAGATAATCAGGGTTATGCGGTGGCTGAACAGTGCTTGGTAATTTCCATCTGGCAAACTGCAGTGATCCGAAGTGAAAATACGAACACAACCACAAAAATAACCAGGACCAAAGGGATAATACAAAAACGGCAAACACGAAAACAAAGTATTTTGATTGGTTTAGAAGCAGAGCCATGATTTTCAGTGTGGTCAACGTATATGATTCATCATTTATAATAAAAATAAAATAAAAAATCCAGATCACATAACTTTGTGGTAGTAGTAAAGTGGCATAAATATACCACTCGTGAGACTACTAATACGTTATGAATAAATGATTTGTTTGAACAAAATGCAGGAAAAACTTAAAAATGATATCTTAAACCATATCAATGAAACACGATTTTGAAAAATGTTGCATTAGAAGTCAATGAGCGAAATGGAATAAGGACAAAGCTCTACCTGCATGGTCAAGGGAATCTATAAATGATTGCCATTTTCCAAGAGCCTCTGAATTGAAAACTGCGTCTAACAACTCTTTGGACGCCCGTATTGACTGCCCTTCTATGTAAAAATGCTTTATCCTAGAAGCATCCTCTTCAAAGAGAAATAAAGCAACATAAGTATTGTTCAACAGATTAAGAACAATATTTGCAATCATTACAAACTGATGGACAGGTCTAAATCAAAATGTTTTAGCCTTTTAGTATGATCATTTATAAAATTTAAACTTTACACACTCATTCATTTTAAAAATACAATTACGCATATTCTTGTGTTTGAAACACTAATATTACTTTTAAGCACTATTTTTAAATGAAATAAAGTTTTATAGTTGCATTGCTCAATATAACTAACAGAAAATCAAACAAAAAATAGAAAAATATCTGAATGAAAGCTGTTTAGTAGTTGCATTATAAGCATACCGTCAGATATGATAGCGTTTGCAGCAAGGAGAGAAACAATAGATGGATCTTTCATACATTTCTCAAATCCCTGACGATATTTCCGCAACCTGGCTTCAATATTAGACGCCATTTCGGAAAACTTCCCTGAAAATAAAATGAATTACATATATATATATATATATACGTATATATATATATATATATATATATATATAATATATATATAAATATATATAATATATATATATATATATATATACACGAGTATATATGAGCAGCGTCATGACAAAACCAACATAATGGGTTTGCGACTAGCATGGACTAGCATGGATCCAGACCAGCCTGGGCATCCGCGCAGTCTGATCAGGATCCATGCTGTTCGCTATTAGTTTCTCTACTTGTAATAGGGTTGGTAAGCGAATAGCATGGATCCTGATCAGACTGCGCGGATGCGCAGGCTGGTCTGGATCCATGATGGTTGCAAACGCAGTATGTTGGTTTTGTCATGATGTGGCTCAATTATGTATATGCAGTTGGGCAGATATCTAACTAAAAAAGAAAAAAAAGACAATTTTTCCTGACGGATATTTGACATGGCAAAAATGTTGAAATCTAACATAACGCTATTTTGAATAGCCGTCAAAGGTTATGAGGCTCACCTTTTCCAGACAGCTTTAGAAATGCAAAGTAAAGGTAATAGAACGCAATCCTTTAATTTGTGAGTTTATAATGAACAACTATTACGTTAACTCATTGAAATAAGATAACGGCTAATCCTGAAATAATATAGAATGTTACTACATTATAAACATAAGGCATGCTTTTATCATTGCCTTTTAAAGCATTTTAAATGATTTAGAACGTGGGCTAAAGATCGTTCTATTTGACTGCAAAGAGGTTGCTAGTTCGATCCCATAAGTCACTCAATGTCAGATCTTATATCAGTATTAAATCAAAGTAAAATGTACGGACACGCTAAAATCAAAATGACACCATGCAGCGTTCTTACGGTGACCTTAAAGGTATTTTTTGGAAAATGCCGTAGTAATTCTTGGAACCCCGATACCTTTTTGTCAACTACATTTCATATAACCGTCACAACCTCATCTTCCTTTATGCGTTATCATTACGTTAATGGAGCTTATACTGCGTTTACACGACGAGAAAGGTCGGTTCTAAATAGTAAAAATGTTCTTACGGCGTTTGTATTCGACCACACAGGAGTCTTCAGTGCCTTGTAAGAGTGAGAACTAACGCAGCAACGGCTGTGGCGTAGCGGCGTCCCGTATGGAACGCCTGGACTG